TTTAGATCGTAATGGTACAACCAGACGTGATAGTGCAAGTACCCTGCAATTGCTGGTTGTTGAAAAAAAAAGAATTGTACAACTTCAAATGAACTTGCACGTGCATAGGGTTTTTTCTGGAAACAAACATAAAAAAGTTACGAAATTTAAAAACAAAACGGTGCTCCAAGTTTGCTTTTTTCTGATTCTGATGCCATCTCAACTTTCAGAGCATCGTAACTACTAGTACATGTAATAGTATTGCGGTAACCCAAACAATAATTGGTTGTTTTACTTTGGAACGTGTTATGGGGAATTCGACTTTTCGACCAGGATGCGGTAGTTGTTCTCAAGAAGATCTAGTTTTCCATTTGGAGCCTTTTTAAATTTTATTTTAGCAAAATTGTAATATCATTACGGGAAGATAACCTCAATCGTGCGTTGACTTTCACAAAAAAAACCTTACTCGACGTCCTGATTTTTATCATAACCGCAATTTTCCTTTTCTGTTTGATTCATTGCTGGCTAAGAAACTCATGGCAATAAGCAAACAAGAAAGCTCAGGGACGTTATAAAAGCGCAGAGTTTTGGTTTTCTTGTTCAAATAGAAAAACCGAAAGATGTTCTCCTTGACGGACAACACAGCAACAACGCCCTCAGTAGTTCATAAGCTAGGATAAAAACCGAAAGATGTTGTCCTTGACGGACAACACAGCAACAACGCCCTCAGTAGTCCGTAAGCTAGGATAATTTTAACTCTAAAAGAACCCCTCCCCTCGACATTTTTCCGCAATACACTTTTGTTTCAGGTACTGGGCCTTTAGCAGTTTTTAAAGTAACAAAAATCGAACATACTATTTTCGGGCAGCGTGCATTGCTCCGAGACGGGTCAGCCAAACATGTACGCGAATACTTTTTCACGCATCGCTGCTCAATGCACGTACTACTAGCACATATATATCCATGAACTTCAAATGACCGTAACAATAAAACTGCATGTCTGATTGAATCAAACTTACATAATTGTAATGATAAGGATGCTCTGGCGGACACTTGTATTATTTTTTTCAAACAACACAGCAGTAAAGGGAGTTTTTTGGCCCCCTAATATTCAGATGTCAAGTGACCTGAGACCTCGTGATGAATTAGATTGCCAGCCATGTTAGCGCCCTCTGGTTGGTACATATAGGTCCAAAAATGACACAAGGTCGAGGAGCACAGCCTTGTCCAGTGCTGGTCGTTTACCGTGCGTACTGGAGTTCCCTCTGCAGCTGCCGTGACAAAATGACAAAAATGACAAAACACATAAACCACATAATTGCTTCATTAAAACTCAAGTGAACTACAATATTTATTGCATGCCAATTTTCATTTCTAATTCGTATGGATGAGCTTAGTCATACGGTTCGGGAAATTGTGGCTTCCCATCGGAGTCTCCTCATTGCAACTATCGCCAATTCTAGACGTTGCATTTTGAGCTCAACACATTTCCACTAATTTGTAAATATACATGTAGCACTCTTGCTGGTTCTGACTACACTCCCCCCTCCCTTTGGTTGACCTATGAGTATTGTACATTTAATTCCGTGTATTGCGTTTGCCGTACTCTAGCTCTAACGACTCATACCATTTTCTACTTTATTTTACTTTTTTATAGCTCTTTTACACTTTTAGGAGAGTTAGTTTACTTTTAAACTTCTTAGATCAAGCATTAGATAATTACAAATACAGAACATAACACAATATACTGCACAGTACTTTTATACTGACTTTTCGTCTGAAGGTAGCCTACACCTCAATGTGGGGAGCAAATTTGCAGGGCAAAGTTGTGGGTGTGCACTCATATAAATCGGATCGTTTAGGGGTGACATCCTTTATGGAAAATGGAGGGGTGAACAAAATCAGAAAAGAAGGAAAGAAAGGGAGGAACGGGAAAAACAATTGTCAATTTGTTGAAAATACCTCAGAACTGACCTTGAATCTGCGATGGTTTGTCAGTTTGCTACAAATCCTGGCGAAGCCTGTTATTAGTGCTGGCTCCAAAGGGAGCCGATTGAGAAATTATGATCTGTTCTTGCTTAATAGGACACGCGTTTCCCCTTTCATCACCACTCTGTTATGCAAGCCAAAGCTATCAACCTGGAGTTCGAAGAACACGCACTCGGATCGGTTGGGTTTCCCCCAGTCAGTTATAATTGCCAGTTTCACTGGGTTTTACACTGAGGCGGACCCCATTATTAGTGTGAATTGACATTCGTCGTGCCATCTGGATGCAGATTTCCAAGAAAATAAACGGTGCAAATCTTGCAAATGCAATTTTGAATTTTTTTGTATACCTATAGGGAATGTTTCATTAAGTTTAATTCCGTTCAAGCNAGCTGCTGTGGGAGTGACACTAGGATGGAGATTTTCTTCTTAAGCACTTTGTATATGCAACACAGAAATCAATACACCAGTTCATACATTAATGAAATCTGGAAGACGCATGCGAGGGCGTTGCGCTCTAAGGGTGGCGCAGCATTTGTGATCAGCAGACTGATAAGCCATCACGTACACCGTGTCAATTCTAAGGTATTTACATTGATATTGCCGATTTCCAGTACCTTTCTTTTATTTCTAATCTGATCACTAGATATATGGGTCATTTCCATGTCAAATCAACCCTTAGAATTGAAAACTTTACCCCCTCAAAATTGGTTCATTTTCAAGTTTTAGCCCTGTTGGACTAATATTTTCTGAGCGACAGACCACAACTTGCGATTGTGACCATATCTCCCTAATCACTTAGCCAAATTTTCTGAATGTTGGTGTGTTATTGGAAAGTAAATTGTGTAGGGAATCCAAATTTGTCATTTTTGGGATGATTTTTTACAATAACTTTGTCCATGAATTAGACTTTGTGTATCACACGACCTTGAGTTTAATTTGGATGAAAATATAACCCATATGTTTCCTCAAAATATTTAAAAATTGAGGTGTCATATTTTTTTGTTTTCCAGGTCCTCTCAGAGTTTGCAGATATTGCAATGAAATTTATACATACATTTATATTAAATGTACAAGTAAATGGTAAAACATCTGCCATCACTGACTGAACAGATCGCACTACAATCAGAGTTTTTGAGAGTAGTCATAGAACACCTTAAGGGCGAGTTTCCATCTGTAAAAAAAATTCACTACTTAACGCTTGGTTGTGCTGGGCAATACAAAACAAGAATGAAGAATACTTTATAAGCCCCTGTCAACATGAAGAGGATTTTGCGTTGCTTACAGAATGAAATTTCTTCTTTTACATCACACGGCAAGAATGCCTGTGATGGGATAGGAGGGGAATCGGATGTAGAGACTGGTCACGAGAGCTAGTCTGCAGCGCCTATAATGACCACATTCTGACGGGGGGATGCTGTCACTGATTTCTACAAGAATAATATCTCCGGTATCCACCTTTTTAATGTGACACCTTAAGATGAAAGTGAGGGCAAAGACTGTGAAAGGGACACTGCAGTATCGTACGTTTGTTCCTGTCTCCAATATCTGCATTGCATTTGTACAAGTTGAATGACCAAGTAACCACTCCGGATACAGTGCCAATTTAAGACAGTAATGATGCAATGTCAGAACCTTAACCAACAGTGCAACTTGATAACAAGGAATACAGCCTTTTCTGCTGCCGTTATGATGGATCGACATGGATTAATGGCAAATGTGGATTCCTTTAATACATCATTATTACATTACAAATATTAACAAACTTGACTTTTTATTTAGGGAAATATAAGGGTCATTTGAAATGGCGTTCAACCCCATTTCGGCGATTCTGGCCAAAATGCTGGTCCATAGCATGGAAACCATTCGTCCGACAGGCTAAAAGTTAAAATTTCAGCTTTTGCAACCAAAATTACCCCATAAACTAAAAATAAAGCAGTCTGACCTGTGATTTGACATGCAATGAATGACCTGCACCTGAAGGGACGGAATACGAGTTTCACAGTTAGAATTCAAAGGAAATTTTGATAGCGGAATATTTTATGGATTAACCTTTTCTTAACAGCAGCATGAAGTGTTCTTTTAGTGCTTCAATGCATTTACAGGGATAAATCTCTGATTTACCAAAAGCAAGTCATGTAAAATTAAAAAGAAATCTTCAATTCAGGTATTAAATTCCCTTAATTAATTGTAAGTAGGCCCTATAAGTACTGCCAGTTGACCCGCTATTACGTCATTTACTTTTTCACCAGTGTTGTGGTAAGTAAAAATAACTCTGAAGCAACGCTTGGTGGCAGAGTGTATTGCGGATCACACCGCGCGTTGGTCATCTTACTACAAAATTAATGTACATTACTCCATAGAGTGTTTCTTTTCTTCTTCTCACTAATGTTTCATCTTTTATAAGCTTTATGTCTGGATTTTTTTACACTACACTTTACACAACTCGATCTGAATTGATTTGGAGTATCATAGACACCCCTATTTCTTCCTGTTCCGCCCAGTGACGTAATAGGTTACTGCGTGCCAGGTAATTGTACACCTGCTAATCTATTTGTGTGTATTTACAGAAAAGTGATATCGTTGAGCAAAATTCCTATTTTGTATTTCTTGTATTTAAAGTTACAAATCTGTATAAATTAAAGTATAAAATAATAGGGTCGTCAAAGCGTGAACGTCGAATGCGTTTTCATTCGCTCTAATTTCCTCAAAACTCTACATTTCCGTCTCTCCCACTTTTTTAAGTGCACACAAATAGGTTCATTAAGTGAAAAGGTAATGTTGTCATCCCCATATTGTTTCTTGATGGATCAGGGTAACTGGCTACCACTGGCAATCTTAGTCACTCCACAAACTGCCGAGTCCATTTGCCTTGTTCTTCAGTGATTGATTGGGGAGCGCGTTGCTTTATAAGATGTGGTAACTCTTACTACTCCCATTCCAAGAAGATTTCAATGCGTAGCCAAGTCCCTGTAATAATTGTTGCAATATCGAGAGTATTCTTTTGCACAGAATAAATGAAATCGAACAGGCATTTACCCTTTTCGCAATTTTATTTCACTTGTGAATATTGTTTCACCATTGGGTACGGCCTTCCATCTTAGATTAGCAGGATTGTCAGACCCACCCATAACTGTGGAATATTCGCCATTGAGGTTACTTGTCACGTCTGGATTAAAATTAAAACCAGTGGTAGGTTGACACTTATTGAACCACCAGCCTCCGTGGTGCTTCTCAGCGCAGTTGTTGCCAGCATCGTTGTCGTTGTCTCGGTCATAGGTTGAGAAGTCTTGGTTATTGTGCTTGGTCGTGAGAGAGTCACCTGCATGTACCAACAAGAACACATCATATACAAACTGGATAAGCATACATACAACCACACGTTCACAATGATATCTTCAATCGGCTGCTACAGGATCTTTACAATAAAATGTTTTTACTACACCTTTGAACATGTACCTCAGTTGCAATTAATTATGCTATTTTCATTTTGTTTTTATTGTTTGACGCCTTAGTACTTTTATGTTAATGGATATATTTATTGTCCCGTCTTCCAAACACATGTAAAAAGTATACATAACGAATTTCCCAAGGAGTGAAAAGCTGTTAAAGTTTGTCTAAGAACAAAGCATTGCATTGACTCTTTAATAAGCCTCTGTAAGGAACAGAAACTAGGAGAAGATGACATTGTGAAATGTTAATAACATCAGGTAGAAAAGCAGAGCAAACATACGAAAAACAAATCTGCAGAAAACAACATGACTTGCAGTAATTGTAAACTTGTGGGTGGAAATTCCTTGTAAATATCTACAACTACTGTTTACCCACTCCTGCAGTCCTGCTGAAAGCTCGATTTGATTAGGAATGAAATTTGTGTCTCCTCTACGAAAAAAAATTCACGTAGAGTTTCAAGACATCATTTTCATTCGGAAAGAATTTCAGCGCGATAGCTTATGTTTTTGACAACAAATTGTCTCAGTTGCTTGTGCTAATGTATATGTATACCAGTATAGAGTGGTTTCAGGCATAAGCAGTTCTGTGAAGCTCCAATCTTTGGTATGTCAGGCTCAGATGGTGGAATAACACACTTTTCCATTTCTCATATCACGAAAACATAAACGAGGACAGGGAATTATCAGCATTAAAGCTAATTGCAATTTGAACTAACTTGAATATTCCCGCTAACTTTATCGTGTATGTAAAGGCCATGAAGTTAATTAGTTCTCGCTCCTTGTTTTTGCGTCATCTGTATCTGCATCGAAACAACAGCGAGGCTGTGACCACGAACTAACCTTAATTGACATTGAGACATTGTTATCATTTTGCAGTTGTCAAAGATTCTTACAGTTCCTCAGTTTACTGTTAACGAACCGACGCGTAATTGCTCTTGCTGGATTGCATTGATGAATATATTTACCAATCACTGACTTCAACAATGTGTACTTGTACCACTGAGTGATAATTCCATTCGGCCTGAAAATAATCTAAACCCTCATCATCTATTCCAGCAAACCGACCAATCCCTACCCCATCCCTAAACCCCACACTGTATGAAGGTATTTAGACATCGGTAAGTTTCATTTTTTTTAATTAGAGCGTCCTGCTCCTAATTCAAATTAAAAGGCTGGCGGCGGGCAGTGTATGAATACGTTTTTGTGATTTTAGTTCATGAAAAACTATTTCAACCCTTTAAGTAATCTTTGGTTGTGCCTGTGTGTGTTTAAGGGACCGGCAGGTGGGGACCACACATTTTAGAAAGAAAATAGTTCTGAATTTAAACAAAACTGACTTGAAAATGAACCCTTTCCAGAGGAATCTGGAGTAAAATATCGATCTATTGGAGGGAAGAAATTTCACTCAAATTTATCCTGTCCTTTTATTTAATCTGAGGGAATGAATTTTCACTCGAATGGAGTGATTTTTTACCCTTTGGAATTTAAATCATGACTAAAAATTTAAAGGGCATCACATTTCTATCCCAGCAGAATCTTTCTCCAAGTCAAAATCACCACTTGGACAGAGACAAGGAGCAAGGAATCAAACAGGCATGAATATGACGTCGAATGACAAAAGGAAGGGGTGAGGAAGGTCGTGGCTGGATAAAGGGGCAAGGACTTCATGCAAGATAGGACATGATCAAAGAACGAATACAATGGAAAGCGCTGGACCCTAAAAGGGGTGCATTATCTGCAAAAACACTAAAGAGGGAAAGGATTGTTAACTAGCTGTTCCCTTCTTCGATGTTCAGGCCCGTGAGGTTGCATGGTCTGGAGGCGTTTGATCCACAGCCTTTCCCTGCTGAAGCAAATGGCATCCTTGCGGTATGCTGGTGATTCTATGCTCTGTATGATCATATCAGAAATGGAATGTCCATAGAAAGGTTGAAGTAATGGCTGAAAAACGTATCTATTAGCTTGATGCGGACTGTGGATCTATAGCCATAGCGTCATGAGAGTGTTCTTGGCCTCTCCAACATACTGAACATTGCACACCCTACGAGAGATAACATATAAGACATTAGAAGATCTACGAATTGTGATGCCTTTGGTTCTGTGGGTCGTACCGGTTGCTTGCTTCTTGTCTCTTTCCAGTTGCCTTTGAGGAATTATCTGCTAGGATTAAAAAGTCAGGCCCTCCAAAGTTTCTGATTTGTATCTTAGGTCAATGTAGCAAGCAAGCAGTTTGACTCAGTGTTTGTATTTATGCAAGCATCGAGGGACCACAAAAACCTGCCCACCATAGGTTTGCAATCGTCTGAGAGGAAATGACAAAACAGAGCCCAGATATAATAACAAAGTCAGACAGTACGTAGACGAGCATACAAATTCAATTACATGTAATTCGGAGATTTAATCAGTCCGCCTGAGTTTCCCCAAACTGGCAATTTTAAGAGGGAAGTTTGAGTGGAACCCAAAAATGCTACACGCACGCTATTATTATCGATTAGTCCCCAATATTTTTAACAGAAAAACTGGCTTAAGTTAATTTATCAAATTGTGTTGTATTTTAAGGTTCAACAGAGTTGTACTAGAAAACTTTTCTTAATGTTAGTCCTTTTGGCCTTCAACTCCTTACAAACCCTTACATGTAATTCCACAAGTAAACCGTAGAATTGTCTTTTATAACATGTTTAAACCGCTGTACAGTCTATTGAGTGTCTTTTTGTTTTAAATCCACGGTATCTCCATTAAGTCTCAGGGCGCAGCAACGAGCTGAGGTCCCAACCTAACCTAATAATATACCTTCCTGTTCTGGGCAACAATTAATCATTTGGAATAATGATTTTTATCTCCAATTAGTTGAAATCTTGCAATTTCAGGGACAGTCTTGGATTTGCGATATGCTTCCCATTACTC